GAAAGTTTGTACCACAAACGATTTAAATTTAATAAATGTATACTAAAATTTAAATCTGTGTTTCAATTTTCCTTCAAAATCGGCACAAACTTTCCGGACAACCCAATACTTGTAAATTGTAAGACACATATTTATAAAATGACAGTAAAAATAAACAATTATATATTATTGAATGAAATTATTCTTTTGCATTAAATTAAAAAATATTTTATCATTTACAAAATTCAACAGAATTAAATTGAAAACCCCCTTTAATCAACAATTTTACAATTTAAATAGAACTTCTTTTAATCGCACATTTCAAATTTCCAGATGTAAATACGATATCATTTCACACAAAGTAGCAATGTATCCCAAAGACAAATGGACCGCGAGAGGAGACGAATCTATGAAAGATCACTTCCGACAAATTATCAGGAAACAAGGTTATGTTTGGGAATCACCAGCTATGATTCATTCGTGTTTCCAGGAAGCGAAACAGAATACGAATCGCGCCGTTTGCGTGTGCGCGGGAGCGGGATTGTGATCTTTATCCTCTGGCCACAAAGAGTGAGAGGATTCAGGGGAAGAACGCGCAGGTCCTTCGCGGTCACTGCTGGTCACTCCGAGTTGAACGTAGGCGCGAGCGAGCGCGGACGGCGTCGTGACAGATCCGTTCGTTCGGAATAACGTTCGTCACGAAGAGTTGACGACGAGGAACAACGGAGTCGTGAGGCAAAAGGATAGGTGTTACAACAAACCGAGTCTCGCGCCGCGTGCAAGAGACTTCGGGTAATCGATCGCAGGCGTCGGAGAAGTCGGGCAACCGAGTCAACCGAGTGGCGTCGCGACGCACGGCGTGCACGCTCGGCTTCCGTGGAACGTGTATCCGTATCGTCGGAGCCAGAGTCAGTATGGCCGTAGAACCTCAGCTGTTTTCACGTCACTGCCTACGTATCTGGTGAGTCGCTTCAACAAGAGGTTTCTTTTTTTTTTTCGTCGTTCGCGCGTGCTACTCGCGCTAACTTCTCGCCTTTCTTTCTCTCTGTCTCCCACCCTCTCTCACGCAACCAGTCACGCGCGTAAATGTGCGTGCGTCATGATCGCGATCGCGCGTCTTTACGAGCACCCCGTGCGAATGGCCTCGTAAGTATAAAACGCAACATCGCGTCGTATTGCCGCGACGGACAATCATTTATTCAAACGACCTCATCGACGTTATCGATGGCAAATACACGACGTTCCGAGCGTTTTCGAAGAGCTAAAAAATCGCCTATCACTCCGGGGTAAAACGTCGGAAATGAATCCGTGCGAATCTCGAGATGAGCGACGAAAGCGAATCGTTCTATTTTTTAATTTTAAAACGTGTCATACAACTCTTTCGATCATCGAAATTTCTAGATTGTGGCTTCGTGAATTGAAAATTTTGGGTAGTCAGAGATACGTGAAACTGGGAATTTTCTCGAAACATCAAACCAAAATCTACAATTCCGCGATCGAAATTGTGGAAAATACGAGGCGAAGTTAGACACGGTAGTTCATATTGATTATCTCGAATCTTCCGCATTACATTTTTCTGGAAAAAGATTTTTCTTTATCATAACCGTCACTTATTTCGCAAGAAGGGGTACGTTCAGGAAAAGTAACGATATTTAATATTATTTTATCTCTGCTTACACCGATATTAAATAAGAATAAAATGATATCTGGATATACTTGGGTAAAATTTCTGAACGCAAGAGGGTGGTTAATCAGTCCAAAGTTCTCGTATACTTTCTCGAGTATTTCGAACATTAGCGTTGCATTAGGGATTGAAATGTAAAAATTGAGATTTGTCTTAACAAGAAAAATAAATATATATTTGATGACAAGTCGGTATATTAACGCAGATTTATTGCATACCTGCCAAATTTAATAGAAAATAATAATTACTTTTTTCAGGCAATAATTACTTTTATCAAAAGTACTGTTATTATACTTTTAATTTAATATTTTAACCTTCAAAATAAATAATTTCCAATATTAAATTGAATTTTTGCAAAGGAAGAAAAGTGACCAAGTTAAAAGTATTTATAAAATTGTTTAGAAAAGAGGAAAGAAAAATTGTATATTTAAAAATTAATTATTTATTACGATAGTATTAAAAGTTAACTTAAAGCTAATCACAAATTGCTTGTTTCTCTAAAAGTTTTCAAATTCTCTAAAAGTAGTCTATAGTGTAGATATTAATTTTGTTATACTATTCGATTATCTCTATTTTAATTTGTAATTTTTTCTTTTTTTTTAGAAATATTTTAATTCGACTTGTATCACTTTTCCTGATTGAAGACCAATGTATGTTTTTTAGAACACATTTCGCACATAATTTAAAATTTGAAAAATTTTGATTTTTGTTACTCTTCTTAAGAGAGTCCGATATTCGGAAGAGCTATTTGCTTCTTATGCTTTATTTTTTAATAATCTTTAGAAAGCCGCGAGACATTATAACGTCTCAAAATCAATGTTATATTTTGCATTCGATTATATATAAAGAAAATCATAAGTTATTTAGACATAGATACCGCCGCAGATTCTTTGTGTTGAGATTTTTAAAAATATTTTAAGAAAATGTTAATTTTTATACAGTAAATATATTTGCATTAAATTGAATTTCACTATATTTGTGGATATATATTTTGTTGAAATAAATAAATAATAAAATAAATTTAATAAAAATATATTTATATTAATTATATACGTATATATGAAAATGATTTGGAAAATGAAATTTAAATTTTATATGTTGAATAGAAACATGTTCTTCTCTTTTTTAAAATATGCTTATCTTTCTAAGGTTAAACATATACATACATTTTTTCCTACAGTGAAATTTTTATTTTCTTTTTTTATTTAAGAAAAAAACCTGCAGTCTTCTAAAGATTAATTATTCGTAATTTGGGATTCTTTACCTATCGATTTGGAATGATCGATGATCAAGATAGAATGAATAAAAAAAAGAGGGAATATTAAAAGTCCGATATAAAGGATATTTTTATCGGTGCAAGAAAAAATAGAATAGATTGACATTTACAAGAAAATGAAAAAAAATGATGATTTGTTTAATATTATTATGTAGTATTTTGTATCGGTTTTACTTTTTCGTCCGTTATTTGATTGATTCGTTTATTTCAATAGACAAAATCTTTATATACTAAAAAGGAAATGCATTTAATACGTATATAATTATACGTTCAAACATTTATTATTTGCAATTTATTGCAAATTAATAATATTAAATTTTATTTTTATCTTTTATAATCATAAAAACGATCTTAGAATAAAAATTCGATAACGACGCTGTTCTTTGGCGTAATTTTTAATCTAATTTTTTTCATGAAATTTTTTATGAGTTCTAAATTAGATTCTTGAAATTAAATGAATATTTTGTGTGAGCAAAACTCTGTAAGATTTAACCGAAGAATATAATATTGCAGGGGTGAACACAAATAACTGAGAAGCAATCTATTAATCATAGATTTGATTAAGTTTCAATCGATTTTCCAAATGGAAATGCCGGGCGTTGAACGCATATTCAAATTACGATTTATAATTTCCATTAATAGCTATATCAGCGAATTTTTTTTCTGAATCATTCTGAACGAATTTTATGGTTTTTCATAGATTTTTCTCATAGATTTTTAGGTACTGAACACGAATTTACTTTCTAAAGGAAGATGTTAAAAAGGGGTCAGAAAAACTATCCAAAGTAGTCCAAAATTTACAAAAAACATTATTTCTTTTACTTATATTTTTTTTGAACAAAAATTGGCTCTTTTTTTAACATCCTCCGAAAAAGAACAGATTTTTGTCTAAAAGATAAAAGATAATGTTTTTTGTAGATTTTTACTCCCTGAATACGAGTGATAAAGTTATTAAAAAGTTCATGCGTTTAGAGAACTCTCGAAAATTATAAGAAAAAATATTAAAATTTGGATAAATAACATGATGTTTGTGATCTTAATTTTTGAAGTGTCACCCAAACGCTACGAACTTTTTAATAATTTTATCATATCCAGAAAGTCAAAATCTATAAAAAAACAATATTTCTTTTACTTACATCTTTTTGGTCAGCAACATTCTTCTTTGCCTATCCTGTCACAATTTTGAGAAAAATGGCATCAAAGATGTCAATAACGATTTTTGTGACGTTGTAATGGCATTAAATTTAAAAAAAATTTCGTTAATGTCTATAAAAAAAAAGTATCAATCGTATCAATGTTTAGCTTTAAAATACATTTTTTTTTATTCAATTCCCATTAAACTTAAAAAATGCGTTTATATATTTCCAACTCGATCTACGACTGAAATGAGATTCAAACTGAAATGATATTTCAATATCTCTATCGAGATAAAGAATCTGGATGGAGAAATCCGAATTTCGAATATCTAAACTTTCAATATAGACTCTCAACAGAGAATCTATAACTATTTCCAATTTGATTATTTGAAAATCTCGGTGACATCAATCCGCGATCAATCATGTCATTCTTATTGTATCTCGACCCACCCGTCACAGGTCGTCATATAGTACTACCTCGGATTGACTGAAGCGAAATAGGATATAACGATTTCACTCTGTGGAATACAGAGGTGGATAGTGCACGAAGGGGATTGAAGGGTTCGAAGGTTACGACGGGCCATAAGCAACGTTTTGTTGACGTAAACGAAGTGTGAGGGCTAGGTCAGTGATCAACATTTCGAATAT